CTATTTGCTGTGACTGTCTTCCTAGGTAGTAAGTAAGACAAGACGAAAAATAGGAGAAGTACTAACGAAAGAGCAATGGCTCTTCCGACTCCGCCCATACGATCAGCGTGGAATGAAAAACAAAGTAGTCGTGACTGCGATAGCCAAATGGCCAACTGTTCTTGATTGGGTCAATCTAGACTGCCCGGTTCCAAATGAGCTCTATTTTGTTTCAGATTTTTCTCTTGGTGTCTTGTATTGAATAACTTTCCAGATTTGCTCGATCAGCCGATTTTCACAGTTTGGATGGCTCATCGAGGAGAGCAGGAAGGAGTTCATGGAGGACTCTTCACATACGGAGGTTACGATAACGAGAATTGCGGACCGATTATTGCTTATGAACCACTGACGTCGGCCACCTATTTCCAGTTTAAGGTAAGGTGCATGCTCAAGAGCTTTATTACCTTCTAGAAAATTCCAGACCATCCCGTGAAACCCGCTCTGCCCGCACATTGTAGAAAATATCATTGAAAAATTGAATTATGCTGGAATCAGCTGACTTTGCAGCGCAGCTGTCAAAGAAAAGAAGGGAAAAGCCGTAAGCAGTGTGCGGATGGTGCACCAAACAAGAGGGGTCTAAATACAGTCATTATCCGAATCCGTCAGACGAAGGTGCATGTGAAGGAGCGCGGTATAGCCGCAGGCTGGGTAGTCTTTTCCACCGAGTTCTGCTGGCTGAGGATGGCTTTCTTGGTGGGATAGGCCACCTGGCTGCGCCCCATCCCATGCCCCTCACATGCCCTTTATAGCAAAAGTCAAACCAGTCCTTGAGTGTATTTCTCTAAAATTCCAGATGAAATCGATCGGAGTAGGAAACTTCAAAAGCAGGAGGAAGGGCATACGAGGTGATCTCTGATACTGGTACATCGTTCATCGGAGGACCAAAGAGCGTTGTCGACAAATTGGCGAAGGGTGTTGGAGCTAAGGTACGAATTTTTGCTGAACGCTTCGTATCGACCCTTTGTAGAAAACCCCCTCCGTTTCGTTGTAAGCGGGGGAACGGTAACCACGGTAACCAGTAATGGATGATATGACAGGAAATTGAACTGATATCTTCCAAATGGATAATTCCTCTTGAGAATGTTTCAGTACGTTGCCGACTTCGATTCCTATGTGATTCCATGCGATGCCAAACCGCCCAGCCTGGATATTTACATCGGATCCCATAAATACTCCATTGAGCCTGTCAACTACATCGTCAGTGTGAGTGTATTTGCTGTCATAGCAAAAGATTGACTCCAAAGAGAATGTTGGGTACTGACTGCAGCTGTCGCTTTGCGACCGCGCGCGGGTATGACAGGGCAACCACGTGTGCCCATTTTGAGGCTTTCTATACCTCCAATTCTGCTGAAACGCGTAGAACAGGCGGAAAAATCTTGAGGTACAATCCCCGCCCCCTCGAGATTTCCTATTCTGAAACGATCTCATGTCCCGTCCTCCATCCTCATCGTCGATGGGGAGGTAAGAGTCGGGGGGGGGGGGGTGGAACAGGGTCTGCAGCGGATGTGAAACGGGAAAAGAACAAAACTCTAGGAAACAAAAACACTAGGGCAATTTGCCTAGGGCAGACACGCCTTCTCCCACTCGCAAAATACGACCCCTCGCTGGGTTCCCGCCCCCAGTCTCGTTCCGTGCCCTTTTGCGATCCCGTCCCCCCTTCCGCATCCTGTATGTCCTCCACTCTTCCCGCCTCCTACCACATTTTCCAACATTTCTCGAGAATTTCCAAAACTTTCCAGTTTTTCCCAATTTTGCCGTCGACGGATTTTCTCGGAGCAAATGCGACCACCTCCGTCCAGCGACCAAACACGACCACCCCCCCCCTTTAGGGATTCCCTAACGTGGGACGTGCTCTGATTGCCATTTTACATTTCTAAATATTACACCATATGTGTACAAGTAGTAAAATGGCACAGTGCTTTGTGGGCCAATTGGGCTGGAAAATTCCTCTTCGTTCTTATAAATTCATTGCAGGCTGGAGAAGGCACATGCTTGTTCGCCCTATTCCCTGAAGAAGCGGGAGGTTTCGGTCCTGCATGGATTCTTGGCGATCCGTTCATTCGTCAGTACTGTAATGTTCATGACATGCAGAAACAACGCATGGCTTTCGCAAAATCGCTTCAGAAATAGATTGTGTTTTTGCAAAGCCTAACTTTGATTGATATGTAATATTTGTTGATAGCAGGTGTTCGAATGCTCTCATTTCTGTTTTGAGTAGTAATTAAGCTTGATAAAAACCCCTAATAACAACGTTTATTCGCTTGGCAAGTATCATTATCACTGATATCATTGGTGTAATTATCATATCCATTATTTTGTTACCGCACTCATGGCATTCAGGATCCTGGAAGGGACTTCACGACAGAAAGTACGCGCCGCAGGACACATTCATGCTCGGAGTGGGCAATAATACCGAGTGTAGTTGATCACCAATCTCGGGGACAAAAATGAGGGCCCGTCCACAAAGGGCTGGATTAGAGGATTCCTTCCGTGTG